TTTATGTTTATTAGTTTTCCATTTTCGGGATAATAACAACAAATTTCTATTGTGCACTCTGCACATTACCGTGAAAATAAATAACACTCTCTGAGTAATCGTCGATATATATAATTAGTATAACATAACAAATTAGCTAATATCATCCACAGTATGACTTCGAACTAGAATTTGAAGTAGAATTAATTACTATCATTCGGTTCGCTTGGGTTGGGCGAGTGAGACCCGATTTCATAATGGTTTTGCTCGTTCAATAAATACGAGGCTTTCAGCTAGAGTTTATTGCATTAAAAAGTGCCTTTAGAAGGCACTTTTATATGAAGGGCTCTTGATAATTTGAAGGAGTCTTCAATTCCATTAGGAAATCCGGTCGATTCCATAACTATACAGGGTGATTTACGTAGGCCACACATTATGAGCTTTTCAACTTGCAATTGTATTACGAACTTGATGATTAGTATGCTGTTATAATCGATTATTTACAATCTACCTGATATATTTTTGTCCTCCAGCTATACAGGGTGTGCCAAAAGTCCGCACCAACTTTCTCAGTTCAAATAGAAACCTACATTTTCTCTCACACAGATCGACTGGCCTCCTAATTTTAAGATTAGACAGCCGAATTCATGTCAACTTATCTATCACAGTTTTCGACATTATATATGTCGATTTTTCTGAAATTAATTACTAGCTTAGTAGTTAACAAAAACAATGACAAATGGTTTTGGTAAACTATAACGGCGTTCAAAATTTTCAGAAAATTGACATATCTCGAAAACTGTGTAGAAGTTGACATGAATTATGTTGTCTAAACTCAAGGTTAGAAGGCCAATCGAATCATGTGAATAAAATTAAGGTTTCTATGTGCAAATAAGAAAGTTGGTTCCGACTTTTTAAACACCCTGTATTTCTGAGAGAACAAAAATAGTTCAGGAAGATTGGTATTGATTGATTATAACAGCATACATATGTTCAAGTTTTTAATCCAACTAGAAGTTGGAGAACTTCTAATGTGTGGCATACGTAAATCACCCTGTATGTTCCTTCAGACAAGCAAAGCTTGATCGAGAGAAAAATCAACTCAACTGTACCTCGCGCCCTTTCCGATTCTCTCAAAGGCAAGAATTTAAACAACAATGACTCGGTATGGACGCATTCTTAGACCAATCAGAACGATTCTAGCTATGGCGGTTGATTCAAATATCTATATTCATCCTCATCAATATTACAACAATTTAAATCATTTCATGAAAGGATGATATTATTGAATGTGATGGGCTGACTATTTTTTCACTTATAAGTACAGTCTACAGAAATTTTGAATACTGTGAAGAAGACGAAGTTTTACTTTTCAGATTCCAACAAGTGTATATGGGAAGACATCAATGAAAATTCGATTCACTATATCAACCTCCATAGTATTTTAAAAAAAATCATAAGATAGGAATTGAAAAAGGTTTCGAAAAGGAATATTCTCAGATGAAAATATGAACATTAAAAAAATGGATATATGTAAAGATATACATTGAGAATTCGCATTCTCTATGTGATGAAAATATCAATTATTCTTTATCGGATTATTCAACAGAAAACAACTACTTTCCTGGCTATATGCCACGACGAATATTGAATTATATATATTGAACACACGCCACGTCAAACATTGAATTATATCTGTTGAACATCCAAAAGGAGAGAATAACAAAAAAATAAAGAAAGGTTGATGGTGGCTGGATTTGAAGTCCGCACCTCCGATGGAACAATAAACTCTTCTCGAAAAATCACGCAAAGAATGTTAGTCCGTTAGTATACGTACTTTTTGAGCAATACAATATAATTTTTATGATGTTGGTTTTTCTTTTGAGCCTCCTTTTTCGATATACAGATCGAGGGTCAAGTCGATCATATTATTGTTGCTGGATAAATAATTAGCGAACTGACTCTTTTGAAGTATACTGCTACCTGTGAACTTTCTTCATGTAATTTATTTTATTACAAGGATTTCTTTATACTCTTGAATATATTTGGGCTTGTACAGAAATTGTTCAATAATACTCTTAGCGACGAATCAAACCACCCCGTAAATGGATGAAACGCCTATAGGAATGCCATATCACAAGATGACGATTCATCGGTATCATCATGATCATGCGGTTGAAGCGGACTCATTCATTAGTATCATAGTATCACAACGAGTTAGTCATGATATTGTGTGTCATAAACGGTCTTCTTTGTACAAGCTATCATGAGTGATTAAAAGTGTTAAAGTGTGGAAAATGTGTCTATCTACGATTCCTCAACTGAGAATCTAACAATATAGGGTGTGTTTTTCATTCCATAGAAGAAAGTCTGCACTGATGAATGCGCTTCTTTGTCGTGACGTCACCAATTTTATGATGGAACCGATGCCGTAATAGACCATTTTACGCTGAGCGCTGCTTTAGGCATATTAGATATCATTATTTGGTTTTTCTGTATTGGCAACATCTACGATTCTGTCATTTCACAAAATATCAAAGTGCTGTCACGTTCAGTGTTGTCATTTATAGAATCTCTGTGAAATGGACAAAGGAAAAACAGAAAACCTCCTATATATAAATGTTTGATCAACGGATCTAGAAATAATTCTAAAAGAAACAAATTCATCATTTCATAAGTTTCCAAGAAATATTCACAAAAGTAGGGAATGAATAAAAAGTATTGGATAATCGGACAAGGGTTTGAATGAGATCATGCCGTACGAAGACAAACAAGTTTGCAGTATTCATTTTGGTCTAGGAGAGCATAAACTGTGAAGGATCCACCAAATTATTCCCCTGGAGAACAAAATCTGGAATCTCGAAATTCTCATCAGCCAGGTATATGTATACAGTGTGTCCCACTTACCATGCTCACCATGGGTATCTTTTTAACGGTGAGAGATACGAGGTCGGTTAAATGACACCAAATGTGCAGTTTGTCAAGGCCAACTATAATGTGAAAAAATATTTTGATAAAATCTATTCGTTTTTGTTTTATACGCAAAAAACAGATTTTGATCATTTTCATGTATCCTCCGTAACTTCTTTATTTATGAAAATATTTGAATAGTAATTTCACATTCTCATGGCAGTTTTTCAAAGTGATTTCGAAAAAAAATTGAAATTTATACCAACTCTTCTAGAATTTGAGATATCAGCACCAACTTTAGTTTTTCAAATGTAGGTCATAGCTCACTATGACTTAGTTACAATTAACTTTTTTTTCTCTCACAGATGATATGTCGCAGTAATAGTTTTGTGTTGATAACAACGGAGTTATCGTCATTTATACAAAAACAAAAAATTATTTGGAAGCCGCCATCTTGAATTTATAAGTTTTAACAAAAAAATCATGATCTCCGACCTCAAAAATCCCCACTTACCAATTTTGAATAGAATCGGACCAAATCTTGTCCGCCATCTTGGAGCAGCCATTTTTTTTAATATCAACAAAAATTCCATAATGTATTGTCTCCGAAATTATGAACACCTGTCAAATTTCAACTCAATCGGAGTTATGGAATTTTTGTTGGAATTAAAAAAAATGGCTGCTCCAAGATGGCGGACAAGATTTGGTCCGATTCCATTCAAAATTGGTAAGTGGTGGTTTTTGAGGTCGCAGATCATGATTTTTTGTTAAAACTTATAAATTCAAGATGGCGGCTTCCAAATAATTTTTTGTTTTTGTATAAATGACGATAACTCCGTTGCTATCAACACAAAACTATTACTGCGACATATCATCTGTGAGAGGAAAAAAAGTCAATTGTAACTAAGTCATAGTGAGCTATGACCTACATTTGAAAAACTAAAGTTGGTGCTGATATCTCAAATTCTAGAATAGTTGGTATAAATTTCATATTTCTTCCGAAATCACTTTGAAAAACTACCATGAGAATGTGAAATTCCTAATCGAATATTTTCATAAATAAAGAAGTTACGGAGGATACATGAAAATGATCAAAATCTGTTTTTTGCGTATAAAACAAAAACGAATAGATTTTATCAAAATATTTTTTCACATTATAGTTGGCCTTGACAAACTGCACATTTGGTGTCATTCAACCGACCTCGTATCTCTCACCGTTAAAAAGATACCCATGGTGAGCATGGTAAGTGGGACACACTGTATACTGTTCCCTCCTTTTCTATTCCCATCACGTTTCAATTATCCCGTTTTCAAATAATCGAATTGCAAATAATAAAGTAATATTCGATCACATATTTCCGAATCTGTTGAGGATGGTTCCTCGCAAAAATTTTGAGTTCAGTGAAGGTAAATCAAAACAACCTCTATACAAAATCTCCATTTCAATCGAATGGTCTGCATGTAATTTAGGTATAAAAATGATTGAGAACAAAACACAATATTCGATTTTTTTCATAGAAGCCTCTACTTCACCTCTTAATACATGCATCCATACTTATGCCAAGGAAGCATACAAATTTGAATTGAGGTCTTTTCTATCTTGAACGGAAGAGAGGAAAGTTCTCTTCTCTTCCATCTTTCTCTTCAATGATACCAACCGCATTGACATATAGAGAGGTCCGATAAATCTGTACTTGTCTAACATCTAGTTTGTGCCACTGAACTGTTTTTGAATTCAGCAGAGTCAAATTTAACGATATTAACAAATGATGTGAAAATAAGTATGATATAATTCGAAATTTCACATCATTATAACATAGAAAATAGTTCAGTGGCGCAGAGTAGACGTTAGACAAGAAAAAATTTATCGAATTTCTCTATATTTCAATGCGACCAGGTTGGTAGCACTGAAGAGAAAGATGGAAGAGAGAAGGATAGGAGAGAACTCAATTGATCACCATAGTTGAAATCGTTGATTGGTCTAGAAATGCACCCATACCGAAAGTCATGGTCATTTCAATTCTTGCCTCGCCCCGAATCGCGCACGAAATCCGGCCCTCCGCCTAACCTCAAAAACTCTGAAAGCAGCCGAACTCCATCGACTCGCGCTGTCAGTAGACCCACGACACGGGTATCCATTGCGGGGCGGTCTGCACGTGCTCGATCGACGACTCCAACGCGGCTATCGTCTCGTCGATGTCGTTGTTGGTGATGGTGAGGTCGAAGTAGTGACCGTACGCGACGCGAAGCATCTCGGACTCTTTGGCCAACCGCTCGAGGCTGCCGTCGAACTGCAAAAAAATCCGTATTGGGGAATTCGATTTACACAGTGTGGAAACACCTATAAAGGCATAAAATCCGTATCTCCATGACAGCAATAGAGTGTGTCCATTTAGTGCGCAATTCTTCGATATCACGAAAGCCATAACCTGTAGAGAAAAACTTTGACGCAAAAACTTTTTCAGTTACTAAAGTTGCTTATATCAAAAATATTTACAACATTACTGGGTGTTTTATAAAAGCGGGACGTCTCGGAGCGTTACCATCGAGATCAGAAGGCAAGCAGCTCGTGACGTCACCTAAGAGAGGCCAGTGTTTTATCGTTTGTCGACTAACGCGTCAGTTCGTGTTAATTCATGTTCGGTGGTTCACGTATGTTTTTGAAGCGGTCCCGAATTCTTTTGTTGTTTATTCATCAAAATAATTGGCGGAAAAATTACTGTTTTGTGAAATATTTTGTGTTGTGATAGGCGAAATAACAATGCCTTTCAAGTGTTGTGTTCTCTTTTGTCGGGGAAATTATGTGGGTGGTCCAAAAGTTCATTCTTTGAGTTTTCCGTTGGACGAGGAACTATCGAAGAAGTGGGTATATGCAATTCACGGCGAGGATTTTACTCCATCTAAGTACAGTAGTAAACAGAGCTTAATTTATAATGATGAATTAATAATAGAAGACAATTACTCTCTCATAGAAAGTATGAGTAGAGGAAAAAGAGAAAAGCTTTGATTGTGCAAGTTTTGTATTCGTATATTATATTCAACAAAATCATCTCTGAATTCCAGGAAATTTTCTTGAATGGTCATAATAAACGGGCATTTTTAACTCAATTCATTCTCAAATTTCTTTCTCAAAACGGTCATTTGTCTCGTGGCAATGAATGCAGAATTCATTCCAATGATCAAATTGCAACTATCATAACAAACACTCTACTTAAAAAGGTAAAACTGCATTTATCTGCGATGGTTTTTTTTTTCGAAAAATTTTTTTTGATACGTATTTTTGTCTAAAAAACACGAATTTGATAATGAAAATGTAAACAAACCATTATTTATCAAGATATTTGACTATAAAGTTACAAATTTCACCTTCTTTTTCGCCTGTCTTCTGGATGGCATTTAGAACAATTTTTCCTTCTTTTTTCATCATATTGGACAATTTATCACAATGTATGACACATTTTTTTTCTATTATATGATTCAACTATAAATATGATTTTCTTGAGATTTATCCATATTTAGTGAAAAGAAGGAAGAATATCATTTAAAATAATGGCGTGTGTAATGTCATTCCAAAGCAATCTATTGACATTTGACATCTCGTATTTTGATTGACTATTGTTTAAATGGCCGTCATCTGGAATGCTTGTTCACTAAATATGACAAACTCGCCATAAAAATCATATTTCCTGTTGAATTTTCTATATAAAAATGTGTCATAGAAGTACATCATGAGTATATAAAGTGTCCAATGACAAAATAAGAGCAAATAGCTTTAAATGCCCCCAACACAAGGGGAGGGAGAAAGATTGCGAAATTTCGATTTTTTTCTTGAAATATCTCGATAAATAGTGGTTTGTTCACACTTCCATTATAAAATTCGTGTTTTTCAGACAAAAACACGCAAGTACAAAAAAAATTTTCGAAAAAAAAACCATCGCATGATAAATGCAGTTACTGTTTCAAGTCTAACGATCAATTGGGTAAAACATCCAACAACAGGAAATTGAAAACACTCACTGGGTAATTTGATTGGTAATAGGAATTCTCCAAGATGAATATAGGTAATTATAACAAACGGCAAATAAAATACATTTTCCACAATTTTCTTTCGATCATTCAAGTTTATGTTCTGCGGGCCCTGTATAAGTGAAGTTAACTAACCTTCACCACAATGTTTGCGAATATATTTAATTCGAAGGGGTTGCTGTAGGTGGGTATTTGTGTTTTATTCTGGTATTTGCTTTGAAACTTCGTTTTTCCATAATAAAATCGAATGGGATGCGAAGAAGGGCTCAGTTGACGACTGGCATCCTTCTTCAACCGGGAGCCCTTCAAAAAAACAGCAAAATTGGCTCAATATTGATCTAAAACTAAAATTGAAATACGCGGTCGCGTTATAGCGCCATAAGCGCTTGTCGTTTCCAGCCGCTGGTTAGGCCTTACTAGGGTCCCTTGATGGAAATTGACGTTAAAGTCATCTTAACAGGGTACGGACAGATCCTCGTCTCCTCTCACTCTAAAGTGTTTGTGAAACAGTTATATAGTTCCATCCTCATTCAATTCTGGGGATAATCACTAGATTTTTGACATTCGTTGTTATTTAGGTTATATTGAGGTCACTGGCGTATCATACGTAATTTCCATATGGAATTCCTGATTCAACTATACCAAGATATAGATTAACAATCCTCTAGTTTTAGAGTTCACTACTCCAGAATAATCTTTGCGATTTAGGGAACATATAAATTGTACTGAAAGCACCAAAAGAGACTGCTCTTAGACTGTATACCAGGGTTGACTGAATTGACTAAATGAATTCTGATTTCAAACTGAGTAGTAGTTTATCTACCTATGAGCTGAATGAGCTGAGCCTTATGATTGAGAAATGGTGGAAACCACGATGTGGGTATCTAGACTACTGTACTCATGTCATGTGTGCTAAATATATTTTCAGAAATCCAACTCCAACCCCGGAAAACCCCACATACCTTCCAATTTTGAATAGAATCGGATCATAATTGCAAAACTCGTTCGCCATAATTATGATCTTACTCAACAAGTAAATACCTCTGTACATACCTATCATTAAAATTCTGATTGATTTTCTGTAGCGCCGATGGATGTGACGTGACAGCCATGTCAGGGATGCCAGTAGACAAAACTAAAATCTCTAGATCATTGAAAAAGAATGCAGCTATGGTCTGTCCATACCCTGTTGAGATGACTTTAATGTCAATTTCCATCAAGGGACCCTAGGCCTTACTAAGGTGACGTCACCACGGAAGCATGCAGGCCTTATAATCTCGATGGTAACGGAACTATCCCCACAATTCGCGATTTCATTCACTTATCCGTGTTTGGCGTTTAGGATTATTGACGTATACTTTTTGATGGTTGATAATAAAACTCACATCTGCAATATTTTGCAAGGCGGGAGCAGCGATGAAGACGACGTACGGCGAGAACTCGGCGGTGCGCAACACCTTCAACGCCTGCGGTTCCACATCCAAGATGGCCATCTTGCCGTCCTGGTGTATCCGGCGGATGGTGTCCAATTTGGTGCCGTACATCGCGTCCTCGTGCGTGCCGTACTCGAGGTACTCGTTGGCCGCGATGTCGGCCATCATTTCGTCGTGCGACACGAAGAAGTAGTTGCGGCCGTTCTCCTCGTCCGACCGCGGTTGTCTCGTTGTATCTGGAAAAAGCGGTAGCAGAATATTACCGTTTTATATACAGCGAGTCTCACTTTGAACGCCCCCCTCCTCCCTCTATACCCAGACAGCACCAGATATTCCATGAATCTCCCTATCATATTCCTTTCGGAATATTGGAATATTCTAGGAATAATCTGGAATATTCCGGAATATCTGTGGAATATTCTCTAAATATGCGAATGGGAATTCCTCAGATAATCATAGAATATACCCAAAAGAATATTCTATGTTGAATGTTCCTGGAATATTCCAATAAACATATTCTGAAATAAAAAAAAGTGACCCAAGTAGGGATCGAACTCGTGACCTCAAGACTATCAGAGCAACGCCTTGATCACTAGGCCAGTAATCGAATTGAATGGTTTTATACATATCAAGTTCTTGTGAGAGCATTGTTCGAAATCGGATCATAAACACTTTTTGTTTCAAAAATGGTATTTATGTGTTGAGAAACATAGGAATATTCATGGATTATTTCATGAATATACACCACAGAATATTCAGTTGAGAATATTTCATGAATATACCGCACAGAATATTCAGTTGGGTATATTTCATGAATATACCCCACAGAATATTCAGTTGGGTATATTTCATGAATATACAACAGAGAATATTCAGTTGGGAATATTCCAGGAAGATTCATACCTGAATATTCCCTGAACATGTCCGACTATTCACTTTGGAATATTCCTTTTAGATGTTCCAGAGGCATGTATATATTCTAGGAATAATCGATGAATATTCGGAATATACTCCTCCTTTTTAGCATATTTAGAGAATATTCTATGAATATCCAGTGCTGTCTGGGTAACTCAGCTATTAGTCGTGCGATTCTTACCAAATTCGCACTGGGATGTATAACCATCGATATAATAATAATAATTATAATAATAATAATACTAATTATCAATATTAATGAGTAAGACTCAGGCTATAGTATACAATTTATTTATTGAATAGCAACTCAAACATTTTCGGCACTAGGCCATCATCAGGAGAGTATCTGAAAAATGAATTTTACCTTTACAGGTACAATATATGTGAAAAATGTGAGGTTAAAATTAATTTGTTAATGTCAGAAGAAAATCGTTGAATAAATCAAAAACTCCTTTGTCATATAGTCTTGCAGAAGATGAGCATTGAAAACAATGTAAATGCATTAATCTCATGAAGTAACCAATGTTGATGAACAACGATCAGCCCCTTGGATGATGTTTTAGAAACTACCGTATTTCGTTATTTCATCTTTTTACCTATCCTTAAGTGCATAAAATAGTACATACACTTCGGATCTAAAGAGCCTCCCGTTGGTCGGGCTATTAACTTTTTGTCTAGGGATCTCCATTATTAATTAAATATTTGATTCGACTGAGAATATGTGGATATAAAAATATATTAGCTATTTTGGGACCTCTTCTCAGGGCTCCAATAATAGAAAACATTTTTTGTTTGATTATCAATATGGTTTTCAGAAACAAACATCATAGCCGTGCATTTCTATTGAAATAGATAGATAGATAGATAGATAATGTATTGATCTTTTAGGTGTACATGTGATACAAATAAGACAAGTCAAGCTTCGAAAAAAAATGAGGTACAGATAAAAATCTTAAGTATTAGAAACATATTGAAAAAGTTGCACAAATACAGACATATTAAAAAAAACAATATTAAAAAAATATACATATATGTAAATTGCCTATATTCAATAAAAAAAAATACACTATAGATAGTATCATTATTGAGCACTAGACCTAAGGGCAGCCATATATTCATCTATGGAGTAGAGGGCATTCGAAATTAAGAAATCTTTCAAATGTTTTTTAAAGTTGTATGAATTAAGATTTTTTACACATACAGGGAGTGCATTGTAGAGATTCACATCCAGAGAATTTTTGCAAGATTTATGCAATCTGAATCTGTTTGGCCTGATCAATTGACAGCTCCTGGTGGGATAATCGTGAAAGTCAGAATTTTTTCCGTAATCTTCTTTATTTTTATGAATATCCAACAAAAGTTGGTATATGTAAATAGATGGTAGCGTCATGATTTTTAGGGATTTAAAGAATGGTTTACATGAATCAGCGTAGCCAGCACCAGCGATAATTCTTATTGCTTGCTAAAAGGGGATCGACTTTTTATGAAATCATGTTAGGATTTTTTTGCAGGAAAACTAACTTCATGGTATCGTTCCTCATGCTTTTCAACCTCCATATGCAAACATTTCCCCATTTCGAATAACTAAAATTTGTTTTCATCGTTTCATTTTCTGTATTGAAAAAATAATGAATTCAAATTAACTGCAAATTTTGGATCGTTCATTAGCTCCGGTAGGTAGAAAATGATGGTTTGGAAGAAAAAACTGTAGAGTTCACCGTTTCCGAATAAATAATTATTTATACGCATAAAGTAGCACTTTATCGCCCAGATTTGCGGGCGTAAAGTAACACTTCAACAGCATAGGGCGATAACCGGCGGGCGGTAAAGTAGTTGAACGGGCGGTATAGTAATGTCACTGATTTTCCGGTGATTTCTAGTAGACTACCATTCGATCTGTCTTCGCCAATTGCCCAAATGGATTCAAATTCATTTAAAAAAATCCATATTGAAATTAAATAAGTGTCTAAAACCATTGTGCATAATTATATATATATATATTTTTAATATTATAATGAAAGGCTCAGTAGAGTGAAACAGATCACAAGAAATGAGATGTCAGTTCTACAGGACGTCTCATCATTCGAATCGTCACCAAACCAGACCATCATCTCGTGAAAGAGTCTCAGATTGTCTTTCAAGGAGAGTTCTAATGATGGCTCCCCCATCATCAAACCTATGCTGAAAATGGTGGACAGAGTGATGATGAAAAAACGGCATTCGCTAATGTTCCACCAAAACATTCCACAAAAAATATGAGGAATAAATAATGTTGGCCGTTTCATCGATTATTTTTTATATTTATATTGTATAATACTTTGATAAATATATTTTTAAATCCGCATAAAATATTTTATGTATTTCGGGCGTAAATTTTTTTCATGGACCTAGGCGTGTTAATTGCCCGAGCGACAGCAATCCATAAAAGACATGCTGTTTTGATGTGTGCCTTGCCTGTTTTTTTGGAGGATGCCTCCATAAGAATATGTGCACATAGGTGTTAAAAAACCATGAAGAACAATATTGTGAGGTGATGTTTTTTTCTGAAAAACTGATCAAATAGATGGATGGTTATTGATCCCAGTCCAAATTTGGCAAAAATCACACAACTAATAGGTGAGATAAAGAGGGAGACCGTTTGAAGTGAGACACGCTGTATACATATAAATAATATTTGGTTTATATCAGCTTAACGAATTTTATACATTTTTATACAGTCCTGTTTTGCGATATTTCTACAATATCAATTAGGTACATTCACATGACCATGTCTTTCAATAATATAATTGTAAATTTCATTTTAGAGAGACCGGCAAAGGAATAAAAAATTCCGAAAGCGTTCTCAAAAGTAAAAAGAGTTTTCTTTTGAATCCCAATAACAACTCAAAAATCAAAACCAATCAATTTTTCACCTTGATTCCGTACATCATTTTGAAAGACTTACGTGGTATTGGATAAGCATATTGATCGGGATGTTTGGCTATAAGGGTATTCTTAATATGTCTCCTTCCTACTCCGTGTGCCCCCAAAAGTACCAGCGTCTTCCTCTGAAACGCGGGATCTGACACTGCAACGCAAAAATGGCGTTATGTTCGTATCGGTAGCAAGAATTCATATTCACCGTACATACGTACAGACCATCCGTATAGACCAATCAAAAGGCGCGAAAATTGCGCTTGCGTGATAAATTGTCGGTTATAATTGCACAAGTGCATAAAAATTACCGATAATACTGCAAGAAAGCGTGGCACTTTAACGGAATGCAATATGTATAAGATAAGACGCTTGAATGCAAATTCATCTGGTCATTTTTATGCACGAATGTAATTCATTGGAATATTTCACGAATAAAGTAACTCTCAGAAATGTTGTTTTATGTCTGAGGAATATCATAATACTGACAAAGACTATGACTAAAATGTGCTATAAGACATGCTTTTGAACAATTATGGAGACGGGATGTTTTCGCAGTGTAATCTTCGCTCTGCAGTGCAATCACCGCTGTAATTTTTCGGTGAATTCATTGCTCTTATGAGGCATTTTATATATGAGGGAAATATTCGGTTATAATTGCACGAGTGCATAAAAATTACCGATAATTTTGCAAGAAAGCGTGTTATTTAAAAATTGCAAGTTTATTTTCATATTTTGGCGAAGGAGCTAGTCCGATGGAGGAAGGGGTCTTTTACGAAATATAAAAATAACCGAATGCAATTTTTATGAGATAACACGCTTGAATGTAAAATTATCTGGTCATTTTTATGCACGAATGTAATTCATTGGAATATTTCACGAATAACGAATAAAGTAATTCTCGAAGAAATATTGTTTTTCTATTTCTGAGAAATATCATAATACTGACAAAGACTATGAACAAAATGTACTATAAGACACACTTTTGAACAATTATGGAGACGCTGAAATTTTTCGATGATTGCATTACTTTTATGAGGCATTTTATACAAGGTGTTTTTGAAATAAGTGCACATATTCAGCACATTAATATCATACAGTCTAAGGAATATTCCCATGATATCAGATCTCCTAATTAACGAGAAATTTCATCTAAAAATTGTGCAAATAACTAGAAAAAAATCAAGTACGCCACTTTTAAACAATTTAAATCATTGAACCCCGCATGATTGTGCCTAACGCATGGAAATTTGAACAGAGGTGACGTCAGATTTGCTACAGTGTAGAACTTTGGATGGAAAAAGGGGTCTAACCTCAAATTTTATTTTGATCCCTAAATTTTTTTATTAGTGCCATTCGATAGTACACGTCGAGCTTTCTCAGTGTTTGAAATATTTGCACTTATTTCAATGCCACCTTGTATATGAGGGAAATGTTCGACAAGCGTCTAGCTAGACCAGCGAATCTGCAAACATCGAGGTCAAGTGACGTCACATACAACACATGATATTTCTTCCTTCTTTATATTGATTGAGAAACTAGAACTACTACGAGTAAAGCGACAGCTTACTGGTCTGTGTATCTAACATCCAATGTAGTGACTGGGGTTCAATCCCTGCCAGCAGCCAATTTTTTTTTAAATTTTTTTCACTCAATTAATTTTTCAAAATCATATTTTTAATTTAGGACAAGTTAAGTTTAGGACAGGTCAAGTCGAATGTACTTTCCTTTTTCATGCAGAAGAGATATTTTTCTTCCTCATATTTCCTTAGAAGTCTTATAAACATGAATAACCTTCTGATAAACTTGAGGTTTGAAAGATTCGCTGGTCTAGATCATAAACAAACTACACTCTATAGACCTCCAACTTCAATGGGACGACCTTGTTCCATTTTCTAGTTCAGCCACCAAACAATAGGTGGCCATTTGACATAATGATCCGTGATCTTTGATAGTACGCAGGCGCAGGCATTGATTTCAAAATGGCGTTCATATATTGTTGTGATTTTTTCCCGCCTAGAAGTGCGTTTTTTTTTCGTTTCAAGTGCTATATTCTCGATTTATTACTTCAAAATCAATCAACAATAGTTTACTTTCGATTCGAACAATAGTGAAGTTCATGATGAGACTGGAGTAGTAGTAGTAGTATTGTGGGGAGGCTGTAGCCAGGCAAGTAGGCCCCCATGGGCCCTTTTTGCCAACCCCTGCTCTCCACATATCTAGACATCCCTCTTTCAGTTGTCCTTTTCGAACCTTCCCGTCTTTCTGATGAAGGTCAGGATGTCCGTCCATTCTAATTCGGCCAAATCTCCTTGTTGTAGTTTATCTACTCCAAAGATTGCGAATCTCATCCTTCCATACGCCTCACACTCTCCGAGGAAGTGAAGTGATGTCTCCTCATCTTCTCCGCATTCACGGCAAGTGGGACTATCTTCCACACCTATGAGTGATAGGTGTCTATGAGACTGGAGTAGTCTGTAGTGCCAGGACGTGCCAGGACGAGAGGATAAAGTGTTTGAAGATCCTGTGATAATTGTTCAGTTATATTTCATTGTGATCATTAAAAGTGTTTATGTATGACCTGATTAAAAAAGTCTAGATAACTTGCTCTCATTTACCGACCATTTTCATTTTAATGGCTGTAAATTGTGGGAAAAGATGAAAGCATAAAGTGCTTATGATATTTCATCTCTTTCACTATTCACGAAAGCTTCTCTTTATGTCAAATATTTGAAAATATCATGAATTATTCAAAATTCCCGCTGTTCGAAATAGTTGCGACACCAACACCAGAGGCGCTGATGACAAAAATGGAACAAGAGGTTAACATGTGCGTTGGCCATCTAGGAGAGTTTAGTTTATCTATGTATGGGATTCATAAGCATGATGATGGAAGTAAGATATGGTGTAAATGCTGATGCGCTTTTGTTTCAGAAATTTTACTCGACCTCTCGAGAACAGCAAGAGCAATGGTTCCGTCGATCTTCTAATAGATGGCGACATTGCACAATTATGACATCGTTCAATTTTTTAAATTGCCTCAGATTTTTCGAATTCAGAGTTAAATAATCCCACTGTTACATATGTTCCGCGTACCTAAAATGCCATTTGCCATTTTATTTCCATTCGTCACAGCAGCAATTGCAGCAAATGTAGAATCAACGTCTCGCTCGATGTGACGTAGAGAAATCATAGTAGGCGGTCGAGTGATTTTTCTCAAGTTTTCAATACGTAAAAATGGCCGACTACGCACACCATCTACTTATTTCCATCATTATAAGAATGTAATCATTATTCACTGTTGCTTTGATTGGTCTATAAGAAAGTCTATACATGGTGGCGGTAAAAATTAATTCTAGCATGCCGTAAGCTCGTTTTCAAGATTCAAAACAACTTACTGGGCAATTTCACCACCTCCTCGTAGGTAACTAAATCTAATTGGTCAAAAACGGCATTATGCTTCGCCAAATATTTGTCCTTGTATTGTTTCTTCTTCCGACCAAATATTGAGCAATTGACTGAAACATATGACATGTTAGAAAAATACATGCAATCAATGATTATATCAACATAATAATTATTATGATAGTTGTTCCAATATCCCTTTCAACTAAAATTCGGCGTTGGTTCTAAATGTCATGCAGTTTAGGATGTTTTTTTTAGTGTTTCAAGTTTACCAGCAGATCACAAAATCGATGCAACATTGAAGGAGACACTTATTACACTAGCAGGGTATTTGAAAGATAATACTATATACAGGGTGTTATTTAAGTACGTGGCCAAACTTGAAGGGGTGATTCTTTGAGTGATTCTAAGACGAAAAGTTCATATAAGCATTGGTCTGGTAATGCTTCGTTTTCAAGATACAGGGTGTCAAAATTTATAAAAGAAATCGTTTTTTTCGTAAATATCTTAATAACCCTTCAACCGATTTTATTGAAATTTGGCAGTGTTATTCAAGGTCATGGAGGGCTAATTTAACCCTAACTATATCGAAATTATCATGTCCAGTGGCGTCCCGGAAGGCACTGTAACCAATATTTTTGACAGAAAAAATGTGCGCCATTGATTTTTTTGCAATTTTTGTATTCGTTTCACATTGAGCAACTAAAATTACAACTTTTTTATATCTAGAATTTTTTTCGTATCTCGCTTTGTTTTTGAGAAAAAACATAAAAATCACTTCATTGCACATCCCTGTGACAACACAATAAAACATTTCAACTATACTAAACCATCAAAAACTGGGGTCTTACTAATATTTTTTCATATTAATACTCTATTCTAGTCTTGGAATTTTCTATCAAAATTAATGCAATGGAAAAACAAAAAATATGTATGTATGAATTGCAGCACTTGCCTTCGGCTCTTGGCTTCGGCTCGTCACAGGGATGTGCAATGAAGTGATTTTTATGTTTTTTCTCAAAAAAAAAGCAAGATACGAAAAAAATTCTAGAGATGAAAAAGTTGTAATTTTAGTTGCTCAATGTGAAACGAATACAAAAATTGCAAAAAAATCAGTGGCGCACATTTTTTCTGTCAAAAATATTGGTTACAGTGCCTTCCGGGACGCCACTGGACATGATAATTTTGATATAGTTAGGGTTGAATTAGCCCTTTACGACCTTGGATAACACTGCCAAATTTCAATAAAATCGGTTGAAGGCTTAAGATATTTACGAAAAAAACGATTTCTTTTAAAAATTTTGACAACCTGTATCTTGAAAACGAAGCATTACCGGACCTATGTTTATATGAACTTTTCGTCTTAGAATCACTCAAAGAATCACCCCTTCGAGTTTGGCCACGTACTTAAATAACACCCTGTATACAGGGTGTTCCCTAGGGTGAAGCATTTTTTCAAACAGGATATAGAACTCATCTAAATAGACAATATCACCAAAAATTGCCCATATTGCAAAATAACGTAGTTGAAAAAATCAAAGATAAAATTGGCCCTATATTACGGTCCTGGTATATAGGGTGATTCAGAAGTACTTTGACAAACTTCAGGAAGTGATTCCTCACCATATTCTCATATGAATTGTCCAAATAAGGATATGTCCGGAAACGCTTCGTTTCCAAGATACAGGGTGTTGAAGTTTTAGTTTAATGTTCTTTTTTTATATAACCTAGGAAATAATGGCCCTAATCAAACGTCTTTTTATTTCTTGAAGATTCATAATTTTTTGAGCAAACTTCCAGCACATTTTTTAGTGAAACAAAAAACAAATCCCCGATCATATCTACGTAAAAAAGCTACTTTGATTATTTTGGTAATGGACCCAGCCAACCATCGTGTGACATCAACATCTGTGTGATGTAACAACCTTGCATAAATGCAATATCTCGTTAACACATCTTATCGACGTAGATTCGATATCAACGTCGCAAGGTGACATCGCAACCAGGAAACTATGTAATGTGGCAGCGACTTCTTCAAACTACATCTCTTCGACGTTAACTAAATAATTCACATTGATATCCTCATGAGATATCTTTGTGACCTGTGAGTGTGACGCAGACATGCGCAAAACGAACGCACACGCCAGACGCCATGTTGAGCTGTGCATGGCCACGTCAGTCAGTCAGTGAGTGAGTCTGACTCCGTACAGACTATTTCCTTCCAAATTCTGTGTTGAAATATCTGAGATGATTTATAGCACATATAATAGCAGCTTCAAATTGGAGGTATACAATCATTTAGGAACGACGGTGAGTTCAATCACAATAGGTAATGTTGTAATTATCTCTGAGATAGGAATATGAGGATGAAAGATCCCAAGATAATGTAAGTGTATTTGATATGTATCATTTATGAATAATGTATATTTGTATTGCTATATATATGTGTCATGTTTTACTTCAAGATTACTAATTAGGGTGATTGTCATGATAAGTTTTGTATCATCTGTTTTTACTTTCGGAAAATAAACATTTTCTTCGGAAAGTTGAATAATAATTATTATTATATATCCCACGAATATCACAGGTACGGCGACCACATCATCGATGTTTGTGACTTCAAATGAGATCGCATGTCACAAAGTGATGTGGCGTATACATCACTTATACATCTCATGGTTGGCTGGGGAGGAGTTATTATAATATATCTCAGTCATTTTTGAATTAACGATGAAAGTTTATGGGCCAGTTTTTGTTCAGAATCGAATTTCCCATCAATTATGACTATTTAATACTGGGTGTCACATTTGAGAAAAAGACCAAACATTCATCGAAAATATTTGCTGGAATTGTGTTCTGCGTAGACAATAATTATTCACCCCATTTCGTGTAAATGTGGTTTCGCCTGTAGCCAAAATGAATTTTGTAAAATGTCCGTTGTTAGGGTCCTGATTCAGAAGCCACAGGCAAAATCCAACTCTCGCAGGATGATCTTGAAGTTCTAAATCTTGTACTCTTCGATAATGATATGGAGAGCCACTCCGATTTGTCCTGCTATGGACCCATTGTTGGATCGACATAGACCAATTACAGAATGTCTTGCTCAGTTTCAACCATTTTGTTTTGATGATTGTTGGATGATTTGTTAACGGAAATCTTTAAGCGTATAAACGAAATGCTGCTGCTGCATCTCGTCGACACTTCATAAATCAAAAACATGTAAAAAAGTTAATTATTTTCGTAAACGTGCGGCATTGTTTAACAATTCACAGAAAACGATTGAAAATGCGGAACCGATGACTACCGTATTGAATATCTTTTGAAATTCATGAAATATTTCGTTATTATGCAACTTTTATTGAATGAATATTTGGTGGATCTGTCTGTTTCGATGAATTCTACATCCTGTAACGGAAAATGCCTCACCATTGAGAACATCCTGTATATACTGACAGTTCATTTTACTATGACTACTTTTAATAAAGATGCAGTTTTGGGCAGTCGTTAATAGGTTCGTTTTATTGGCAAGATTCTTTCACCGGAATGACATTTCTTGTCGTTTTATTCAACGAAATTCTGAAACTGCTTCCAACTTTTCATTCCGTTTTCTCATACAGAATAACAGAAAGATGTAGAGTAAGTGTATATATGAAATTTCAGAATTCAGATACTCTAACCTCAAAATCTGACTTAGAAATTGTCTAAAAGTGAACTCGCAACAGAAAATATTTTGGAATTGTTCGCAATTCTACCCAGAATACTTTCAAACACTTCTGGACCCCTGAAATTACTTTTAAATGTTTATAGATCCATTTGCCATTTTGAATTATTGGTATGATATCAGTAGAATATCTGGAAGTATTAACATAAATTTAGTCAATTATTCCTGTAGATAACATCAAAAGACTCATACAATTATTAAATCCTTTCAAGAATTAAGGTCACGTGCACGATGACCGACCCTGGATGTGAAATATTGGGACACAACCTCACTCTTCTGTGAATTATTGAAACACAACCTCACTTTCTTATTGAAATAGTTTTTCACAATATTATGGCAAACGAATCGTGTTTTTTGCGCTATTCATCAATTCAAGCATGCCTTCGCATTGTGCTGTTGTACAATGCACAAAAAATGCAGCGAGAGACGAAGGAATATGATTTTTCAGGTAAATTGGTAATAAGTAATCTCACATTATAATGAAATGTTGTCATTCCTTATTAAAATTCCTTCTGCCACTTCTGCAATACAAGCAAATACTGCTAATAGATTGAAAATGTCTACAACACACACGATCATAATTCGTCAGCATGTCAGACCAGTCCTCCCGTTTGATTGCATGAATCCAATCTCCTTGCATTATTTTAGAAATTTCATGTGTATTTCTATTAGCTCCTATTGCAGAAGGAATTCCGATGAGAAATCAGAGAAATTACCAAATTTCAAAAATAAAAACTATATGTGAGTGACTATAGTAGGTACTTACTTTCAAATCATAATGTACCAACAGGATTCCTTCGTCTTTTGCTGCAGTTTTTGTACAACAGCACAATGTGATGGCATGAGCGAATTAATGAATAGCCGAAAAATACGATTCGTATGCCAAAATAATTGTGAAAGACTATTTGAATCACTTGTGAACAAATAAGAAAAGTGAGGTTGTGTTTCAATGTTGTTCCTCCAGGGTGGGTCATCTGACAGTTCTTGCACGCGACCCATTATTATTATATAGCCTAAAAAATATCAGCTGAATGTCACAACTCTCAAAATGAGTCACATCGTTTTATTGGTAGTCACTTCTACTGCCATCAGTGGGAAACCAAAAAAACGCTCCTAATATTGTTTCAAATGGTTTTTGTATGCTTCGAATTAAGATTATGAAAAATAAAGACAAATATATAAAAAAACATTATAGGTAGTCACAGCAAAAATGAACTTTCTGTATGTGGTAGATGGGTATTCATGCGCTATTATAGTATTAAATAGGTAGTCATATACCTGTAGTACCATCACAACCATTAGCATGAGAAGAACATCCTTTTTCCACGTCTGGCATTCAACAAAAATACGTGTCACACCAAAGACATTTAGAGGGTATTATAATTATTAATGTTGATTTATCGAAAAAAATGCATCAGTCAGATGGTTGATTGTCCCCAATTCAGAATTTTAACTAAAACATATCAAATCGATTCTTCATTTCATAATACCGAACAAAAATTATGGTGCGAAGTTGTAAAGCACAATTTACAATATAATCTGCTTGAACATCCCAAGTCACAAAATAATACACTATACAGGCTGATTCACGGTGAATGGTACATTAGACGTTTATGGAGAACGCAACGTAGGATTATTTTGAAAATTTGGTTCCTTAGATAATTAGTTGTGTTCTATCGACCTAAAATATTCAAGTTGCGACAGCAACAACAACTTTGATTTTTTGAATGGGTCACCATGTATATTATTCCATTTTCAGATTCTCCCTAAAGAGCTGATTTCATCGATCTATAATACTTGGGGTCTAGTGGGAATGATAACGAATATATAGGGTACCTATGAAAAATAGAGATTTTTCAACTTTAAGAATTTTTTGTGTCGAAACTATTCAAAACGGTTCTCGTTCCTATCTTAACCTTTCACGTACTATCAATTGATATTTAATTGAAATCGATACAGGGTGGTCAAAAATCTTAATTCTGAACCACCCTGTATTTACTTCAATTAAATATCAATTGATAGTGAATAAAATGTTGGAATAGGGACATGGAAACCGTTTTGACCTATTATGAAAAGTTTCGACACAAAAAATTACTAAAGTTGAAAAATCTCGATTTTTCACATCCCATAACTCTGTAATTATTACTGCTAGACCCCAAGTGTTATAGGTCAATGAAATCAGCTCTTCAGAAAAAATCTGAAAATGGAATAATATACAGAGTGTCCCATTCAAAAAATCAAAGTTGTTGCTACTTTTCAATATAAGTGGCAACGTCGCAACGCTGAGAATATTTCAGGTCGATAGAGCACAACTCATTATCTAAGGCACTAAATTTTCATAATAATCCCAAGTTACGTTCTCCAGGAACGTCAATAATGTGTCTTCCACCGTGAATGAGCCTGTATACCGATTTTTTACCTACTATCTTCATCTGCATTCTCAAATATTTCTGATTTGATTGACACTGATTATGTTTTTAGCGGGTTTCTGTCGCATCCAGTGCATAACAGATAAAGTGATATAGCAAGTCGAAGCCCTGAGGGGGCAGAAGAACGATCTAGCCTTCATAGCCATCTAGTGGCTTGAGTGCAAAGGTGTATAGGTAGATTCATCAATCATACCTTGCGACTAAGTCGTGCATATTGACCCCTACGTCTATACGCTAACAGAAATGACACCATGTCAGAATTCTGTAGACTATCGCCACACCTATATTTCTCTAAGTGGTTCAATGTTCCACTAACAGATGGTGATCAACCTAGAATCTCAAGAGAGAATTACAGGTGTGGCGATAGTCTACAGAATTCTGACATGGTGTTTTTTCTGTAAGCATATAGACGTAGGGGTCAATATGCACGACTTAGTCGCAAGGTATGATTGTTGAATCTACCTATATACTTTTGCACTTAAGTCACTAGATGGCTATGAAGGCTAGATCGTCCTTCTGCCCCCTCACTGCTTCGACTTGTTCGATATATGGAGGTAATCTTCGTGAATCGATTGTCAGCTGGACAGTGCAACTGATGAGACTTATGGCAAGTCGAAACAGTCTGTCTTGCATCAGCTGACAATCGATTCACGAAATTTCCCTAGAATCTCTTAGTCTTGAGAATCTAGGTTTATCACCATCTGTTAGTGGTACATTAAACCACTTTGAGAATTTCAGGTGTTGCGATAGTCTACAGAATCTGACATGGTGTCTTTTCTGTAAGCATATAGACGTTGGGGTCAATATGCACGACTTAGTCGCAAGGTATGATTGATGAATATACCTATACACCTTGCACTTAAGCCACTAGATGGCTATGAAGGCTAGATCGTCCTTCTGCCCCCTCAGGGCTTCGACTTGTTTGATATATGGAGGTACCCTTCGTGAATCGATTTTTAGCTGGCCAGTGCAACTGATGAGAATTATGGCAAGTCGAAACAGTCTGTCTTACATCAGCTGACAATCGATCACGAAATTTCCCTAGAATCTGTTAGTCTTGAGAATCTAGGTTTATCACCATCTGTTAGTGGAACATTAAACCACTTTGAGAATTACAGGTGTTGCGATAGTCTACATAATCTGTCATGGATGTCTTTTCTGTAAGCATATAGACGTAGGGGTTTATATGCACGACTTAATCGCAAGGTATGATTGATGAATCTACCCATACACCTTGCACTCAAGCCACTAGATGGCTATGAAGGCTAGATCGTCCTTCTGCCCCCTCACTGCTTCGACTTGTTCGATATATGGAGGTAACCTTCGTGAATCGATTGTCAGCTGGCCAGTGCAACTGATGAGACTTATGGCAAGTCGAAACAGTCTGTCTTGCATCAGCTGACAATCGATTCTCGAAATTTCCCTAGAATCTCTCAGTCTTGAGCATGATGAAAATAGACTGGTGTAACCACTTGTCAATTGTTTTTTTCCAAAACGTGTAGACCGCGAAACACCGTAGCAAGGCCGCACCGGATTGACTGTAGATGGCGTAGGGAACATCGTGCCACATATACTTCACAGATATAATGAAAATTTCACGTCTTTTTCATTAAATCAATCACTTTTTCTCAATGTTTTTAAATTACGAATTAATATACATAAATGTAAACAACAAAACAAAACAACCTTTGTGTAGCAAGATCACTTCGGGAACAGCGCCATCTAGCGTTAGTTTTGCGCGGCCTTACTACGGTGATAGAATTCGACATAATCAAGTAGGCGAGAGGTCTACAAAAATTTCTAGGGTTTTGTAAGAGGGAGCTATTTCACCATACATATATCCACCTTTGTCTTGAGATTCTAGGTTTATCAAAGTGATATAGATTTTGAATTGGTGCATTTTTACAAATCAACCTATCATTATGGTTGAAATAGAGAGAGAAGAGCAATTTGAAAAATCGAATTTGGTACTTAGTCTGATTGGTGTCTTAATAATTTTCACTCATACTTATCTCGGAACATCATCCATCTTGCTAGCATTTTTTTCATATTTTTTCTTAAGGGATCATAGATTATTCGAAATGGATAAGTATACCTACATTACCTACTTCTATAGGATTATCAGATGATACCTTATACACAATATCTACATGCTGGAATGCCAAATTCATGAGTTTTAGTTAGAAAAATTCAAATTTGAACAGTTAAAAAGGTTCATTATTCCAGACTTTTTTGGGATTTTCTCTCTTCGTCTCTATAAAATAGAAATATGAATACTATTTCAATATACGTGTAGTGAGGACAAATCAGATGATTTGCCCCAAAATGTCACTGCGTTTAAAGAATTTTCCTATCAGAGAGCCTAAAAGAAAAATTCACTAGCTTGCCAGTGACAATTCGTATTGAAAAAGGTTTGGAGAAGAGAAATAAAGGTATATAGAAAAAATATCAAAGTTTCACTTATCTTGGACGTTTAGGGAACGAATCTGCTCCCGTTTTCAACATAAAAAATGAATTTTTTTGCATGGCAAATTCGTATTTGTCTTGACACTTCTCAGTTTTAAGTGACAATTGGTGACGTTGGAAATAAAATGAGGTACAAGATGTTTTCATTAAATAATCTTGAATTTTCCATTTTCAGATTTCAGTCGTGAATATCATGTTCTATCTACATATATCAACTGAAAATCCCAAAAAAGTCTGGAATAATGAATGTACCATCTCCTAGATTAACCTACAGACAGTAGTTGAAAAGGTGTTTTGAAATTCTGACGATTCGATGATTAAGAGCAGTTAGTTGAAAATACAAAAATTACTACTAACTAAATCTCATGAGTCGGCTTGAAAACTTGAAAAGATATGTTCGTTTAGTTAATACTTCATTTTAATATGGTTTGATATGAGAATTATCACTTTAATAGATTCATGCTACAGTAAACAATGCAGTAATCTAAGAAGTATAGAGGAACTTGATAACAATACTATGACGAGTGGATAGTAACAGTATTTAATACTGGGTGTTTTATGAACTGCTGGAACGAACCTTTATTTGAATTCATGTTTTTTTTCAATTAGTTCGGTCTGAATTATTAATCATCACATGCAATTTGAATTCAATAATTTTTCGTTAGGGAAAATTATCAAAATCCTAGGTCATCTGAATTGTTTTTCCGCTTCACTTTTGCCTTTTAATTATCATTATCTAGATCAGGAATATATTCGGCTGTTGTAAAGCCAAATGACTTGAGAGTATGAATAGATTTACTTCAGATTTTCTTTATCAAAATGTTTTCAATAACCTGTCAAGAATAAGGGGCATTTCTAGATTTGGAATGGGAAAAAAGTTTCTATGAAAATGTATCTGGAATCGGTTCGTTTTTTCAAAAAATCGGATTTCTATTACTATTTGAAAAAAGGTTCGGTCGGTGTCATTAAATTGAAACTTCCACAATTCCTTGATATTTTTGCACGGGGCAGGTCATTTTTTTACACAAAAAATAGTATCAAGTGATATTTTCATATAAAATTTTCTTGGAACCGAATTTTTTCATATTTCGTTTTTTATTTTCGCAAAGAAATAAATCCAAACTTTCACATTTCTCTGAACCATTTGAATCTGAAACTTCAACCTAACAATTTTACGTTACTGGCAAGGAACAATTATGCGAATCACCAACTTTCTAGCAATGTTGCCAATTTGAAGAGGAATTCCGAAGTTTTGTTATTCTATACGAATTTTGATGAAGAGTTGTTCGACAACAATTTTTTTAGCTACTTTCGTGTTGGCAACACTGTTTTTTAGAGTCATGTGAATCAGGAAACCACGAGACATACATGAGAACACTGCTTTTTCACCTAAATAATTTTAACCAACAAAACTTTGCTAAAATTTTTCCAAACCTTATAGAGCTACAATCATTAACAACATACAGGGTGATACCCACACTCTGTATGTTAAAATCGAAGCGATTCCAGACACACGTTTATAAGAATTCCTCTACTTTTTCGTCCCAAAAAACTCCTAGACATATAATCACGAAACACCGCGTATATATTCGAGTAAGACTAAGAAGAGCGGCTCACAGTGGACTCTATACCACGCACAAAAAAATGGATCAAAGCAGGGCTAAGAAGAACAGGACCTATGGCTCACAGAGGACTCCGAACCACGCCCGAAAAAATGATCGCGAGTCTGATCGGTTCTCACGTCGTTACCTTGTTCTTGCTTGGTTTTTTCCATTGCTGCACAAGCGGCCCTCCACTCCTGCAATTCCGGCGAAGGAATGAGGCCTGCCGAACCTGCGGCATTATCTTTCCTCGCTTGCCACCAATGATGATCGTCTTTGCTAATTATCTACGGGAAAAGAAAAAAAAATGTTTTTTCTGTCACGGGAAAAAGTTTGGCATTTCATCTCTGTTGGCAGGTTATAAAATGTCACTTTCCATAAATTACTTTTTTCCCGGATATATATCACACATACAGTGTGTCCACAGGACTTACCACCCCTGTAAAATCGTTATTATCCGACCAATTTCGAAAAACCTTTTTTTGTTGGATAGGTATTTGAAATGCCCATCCAACGAGAGTGATCTAATTCTTGGACTGTTATCGTGGCCAACTGCGACAAATTTCAATGACCCATATTCCAGAAAGTACTATACAGGGTGTCCGAAAAAACGAATCATCATTTTCTTCAAATAGGTGATCAGCAAATGTAGTTCTGTGGTTTTTCTAGAAATAAATAATCACAAATTATTATTGAGGATTATTTCGAATATACCTGTACCAATTTTCGTCATTTGAATATACAATGTGTCTGAGAAAAACAAATAAAAAGGATAGGTAAGCAATATTTTTTTCATCCTGATAGTTCTTCACTCAAAATAAAAAGATGAATCAGGATCACTTGGAACATACCTGTACCGATTTTCATCATCATTAAACACAGGGTGTTCGAAAAATCAAATCAATATTTTTTTGGAGTTGATGAAAGAATATTGCCTACTTTTTCTTTTTGATTGTTTTCTCAAACACATCGTATTTTTGAATTATGAAAATCGGTACAGATATGTTCAAAGTGATCCGCAATAATAATGTGTCATCAATTCTTCTCAAAAATACCACAATACTACATTTTCTGATCACCTATTAAAAAAAAAACATAATTCGTTTTTTCGGGCACCGTGTTTTATGATGATAAAAATCAGTGAAGGTGTTTGTTTGTTTGTAAAGTGATCGTGATTCAGAATCCATCCTTGTTTTTTGTGAAAAAAAATCCCTAATAGTACTTTATCAAATATGGGTCAATAAAGTTGGTCGCAGTTGGCCACGATTACAGTTCACGAGTAAAATCACTCTCTTGTTGGATGGACATTTCAGATACCTATCCAACAAAAAAAAGTTTTTTGAATCGGTCAAATAATAACAATTTTACAGGGGTGGTTCCGAAAAATGAGTCAATAATGCCGTCTCCGAGAAAGAACTGCAAGTCCTTTTATCTTCCATTCGACTTCGCGGTTACGTATATTACTAAACAACCACTAAATTCGCAATTTTTTGAAATCAAATCACAGAATTAGACTGACAGACATCAGATATTTGATTACTTCAAAAGAATGATAAAGATGCCTACAACGCAGGTGTCCCTACTGTTAAAAACTTAAAATTTCACGTCGATAATTTTCAGATTTCAAAATAATGTAATGTCTTATTATTGATTCGCCCTTCCTTCTGTCACAGAAAAAAATAGTGTATTATACACGGGAAAAATATGAGATTTTAGCTCACGGCAAACACAACCTGGAGCTAAAATCTACAACTTTTTTCCCTTGTATAATAAATTACTATTGATACACTAGGCAACAGAAGAAGAAAAATATCTACAGGGTTTCCCTAAAAGGTATGTTATAAATCTTGGCACATATTCCTGAGGTGAGGTATACGCTGATTCTATGCAACTTACTTTGCTGATACAGAAGAAACCGTGAAAATAGCCGATTCTGATTAATTATAGAGACCAACAGTGAAAACACAAGAGCTTTTCTTTACCTGATAAAATTCTCTTCCTAGCGAAAAACATTTGCCAATCAGTGATTTTACGAGAAAAACTGACACGAAATTTTTTTGTCTAATGTCAGTTTTTCAAGTGTTTTTTGGCAAGACAAATCAACGACAATATACAAATCTATACAAATAAAACACAATAATAATTACCGGTATTGATTGAAAAGGAATATTCTCAGATATATTTATGAACACAAAAAAATGGATATACATATATAAAGAAATACATTGAGAATTCGCATTCTCCATGTGATGAAAATATTAATTCTTTCTCGGTTTATTCAACAGAAAACAACTATTTTCCTGGCTATATGCCACGACGAATATTAAATCACATTTATTGAACACACACGATAAGAATTTGAAAACAAAATCTTCCGAACTAGAGAATTTGAATTCTTCTTCATATAAAGATATGCATATAATATTCTGAATATTCAACAGGAAACAACTACTTTCCTGGCTATTTGCCACATCGAACATTGAATTACATCTATTGAACACACACGATATATTGCACGATATCTGTTGAATATCCAAAAAGAGAGCATGAAAAACCCAAATCCTCTGAAATTGAGAATTGACATTATCTCTCAAATCGAATAGAATAATATGATGTATTATGAAATGAAAAAAATATAACTTACCGTATTGGTAAGTTATATTTTTATATCATGAAATGAAAGATAAAAGGACAGTTCTTTCTCGGAGACGGGATAAAATCCAAAAACACGTGTATTTTGTTTTTCAGGGGTACACCCAAATCACCCAATATTCTGAAATTCACTGTGATGTTTCATTTTGTTTTTGTATTTTTGATGGCATTTTCCTATTTTTTATGGAATACCTACGATTTTTTCTGTTTCATGACGACATTTTTGAGAAATATAGACAATGACGTGAAAATTTTCTAGGTGTAAATGAAAGTGAAAAAATATATGAATAAATATGATCTACAGCTTTACCTGAAGAATATCACCGGTTTTGAAGGCAATTCCTGCTTGGGCACAAGGAATGAGGTCATCCTCTAACGGATCATAATCGAATTGTGCTTTCACAAAAATCTGCAAAAAAAGCACCAATGAATAATATCCAATACGTTAAAGGAACATACAGGGTACTGACAAACACTATTCGAAAATGTAAAAACTTCACAAACGATAAGATTTCCACAACATTCTCAAATACACGACATGTTTCGCTAACACAGTAGCTTCATCAGGTGATATACTGGTACAATGGCGAGGCGGCTCGGTGGTCGAGAGCGTGAAGGCGCTGAGTTCGAATGTGGACTCCCACCGAGACATAGGTTCGAATCCTAGTTAGGCCATGGATGTTTGTGTTTGTATGTATACCTAACCCCGCACAAGTTTCGACTTATATGGGGCGTTTGGTCCCAGTGCTGGGACCATCGAGGTATGCAATTGCAAAAAAAAATGAACTGAACTAACCTTGGCTTGCCTATCTTTTATATATCCTACACTCCCAACCTGAAGGATTAATTACCTGTGGACAGGTACGATAAACCTTCACTTTCGGAAGTTAGGCACAATATCTACATTAAAATACGGTGTACCGGATTAACTTGAAACGGTTGATAGCAAATACATAATAACATATCATTACCAACTAAGAAAACAAATCCAACAGTGGTGGACTATTGAGGTCTAGTTGATCGGTAAGTAAACTGACTCAAATCACTGTTTTCAGCACAAAATGGCAAGTTTGAATCTTCTAGTACATAGATTAATCTCATTCCCTCTGGGCAAAGAAAGATTCAATGCTGAAAGAAGTGTTGTTTATAAAGTGGCTGGCGTCAATGGGTATGATATCAAAATAGTAGATAAATTAATACGTAGACATAAATTTAAGTTAACACTTCAAAATTCTACGACTTCAAGTGGATAAAAAGAACTCTAGAAGAATCCCAATCCCGTTCAATCCCAAGTACACGATGGGACTTGAGAAGGTTTTCAAAGACTTAGGTTTTGAAAGCGTTTTATCAGTCTGGGTCAAAATTAGGCAATTTATTAGGCAATCCGAAAGATAAAGTGGACACACTTGAAAAGTCAGGAATATACAAAATAAGTTGTAATGATTGTGATTAAACATATATAGGCCAAACCAGGCGACCCATAAAAACAAGGTTCAAAGAACACATAGCCCATTTGAAATATGGCAGGTTAGATAAATCTTGTGTAGCCGAACATATGTTCAATCACAATCATAACACACATATTACTAACCTCAAATTAGTTAAGCAAGTTGATAATACTAGAAAATTCGACGCATATGAAAGCTTAGAGATATTTAAGAATAGTAATAGAGTATTGAATAAGGATAATATGGACCTATTCCATATAGCCCTCTATATAGTTTAGTAATATAAAAATTAAGATTAACATGTGAACACAACCATGACAAACATTAACTTGACGGTTAGTACTTTTTCACGGTTGGGTGAACATATACCTAGTATATAAGCAGCACACTAGAATAGGATATTTAGTTTTAATCTCCTCCCGAAGATGCTAACATAGTTAGCGAAACACGTGTCGAGTCGTTTAAAAAATCGGTTTGGTTAGTGGTAAAACAGTGTAGTGTAAAATGTCACAATCAATTTTTGACTGTGTTGGTTTCTTGTGATTCAAAATGATCGAGTTTTATTCCTTCATTTTCTACGTGTAGAATTTCGAAATTATCATCAAAACTATGGTTTCCTTTTAATATATGGTTGGCGTATGTTGAATTTGTTTTCTTCTTCAAAAAATCCATCTTATGTTCATGAATGCGCTGATTAAACGTACGACCTGTCTGACCGATATATACCTAAGGACAAGATCCACAGTTGAGTTTGTATACTCCTGATTTTTGGAATTTAGAAGTATTGACTTTATTATTTTTGATGAAAAGAATAAATAATAATTATTTACGATAAAAAAATATTATAATAAAGACAAAACTTCTAAATTCGAAGAATCAGGGGTATACAAACTCAACTGTGGATCTTGTCCTAAGGTTATATATCGGTCAGACAAGTCGTACGTTGAATCAGCGCATTAATGAACATGAGATGAATTTTTTGACATAGAAAACAAATTCAACATACGCCAACCATATATTAGAGGAAAACCATAGTTTTGATGATGATTTCGAAATTCTACAAGTATATCGAAAATAAAGGAATGACACTCAATCATTTTGAATCATTAGAAATCAACAAACTCGAAAATTCTAACATTTTACATAACGATCAACTAGACTTCAATAGTTCACCACTGTTAAATCGGTTTTATCAGTAGATAATAAAATGTATTTGCTATCAACCCTTTCAAGTTAATCCGGTAGACCGTATTTAAATGTAGATATAAAGTGTGTCCCACTTACCATGCTCACCATGGGTATCTTTTTAAAGGTGAGAGATACGAGGTCGGTTAAATGACACCAAATGTGGAGTTTGTCAAGGCCAACTATAATGTGAGAAAATATTTTGATAAAATCTATTCGTTTTTGTTTTATACGCAAAAAACAGATTTTGATTATTTTCATGTCTCCTCCGTAACTTCTTTATTTATGAAAATATTCAAATAGGAATTTCACATTCTCATGGCAGTTTTTCAAAGTGATTTCGAAAAAAATATGAAATTTATACGAACCCTTCTAGAATTTGAGATATCAGCACCAACTTAAGTTTTTCAAATGTAGGTCATAGGAGTTATCGTCATTTATACAAAAAAAAATTATTTAAAAAAAAAATTATTTGGAAGTCGCCATCTCGAATTTAGAAATTTTAACAGAAAAATCATGATCTCCGACCTCAAAAACCTCCACTTACCAATTTTGAATGGAATCGGACCAAATCTTGTCCGCCATCTTGGAGCAGCCATTTTTTTAAATTTCAACAAAAATTCCATAACTCCGATTAACTTGAAATTTGGCAGGTGTTCATAATTTCGGTGACAATACATTATGGAATTTTTGTTGAAATTAAAAAAAATGGCTGCTCCAAGATGGCGGACAAGATTTGGTCCGATTCCATTCAAAATTGGTAAGTGGGGGTTCATGAGGTCGGAGATCATGATTTTTTCGTTAAAATTTATAAATTCAAGATGGCGGCTTCCAAATAATTCTTTGTTTTTGTATAAATGACGATAACTCCGTTGTTATCAACACAAAACTATTACTGCGACATATCATCTGTAAGAGAAAAAAAAGTTATTTGTAACTAAGTCATAGTGAGCTATGACCTACATTTGAAAAACTAAAGTTGGTGCTGATATCTCAAATTCTAGAAGAGTTGGTATGAATTTCATATTTTTTTCGAATCACTTTGAAAAACTGCCATGAGAATGTGAAATTCCTATTTGAATATTTTTATAAATAAAGAAGTTACGGAGGAGACATGAAAATGATCAAAATCTGTTTTTTGCGTATGAAACAAAAACGAATAGATTTTATCAAAATATTTCTTCACATTATAGTTGGCCTTGACAAACTCCACATTTGGTATCATTTAACCGACCTCTTATCTCTCACCGTTAAAAAGATACCCATGGTGAGCATGGTAAGTGGGACACACTGTATATTGTGCCTAATTTTTCGAAAATGAAGGTTTACCAAACCTGTCCACAGGTAATTAATCCTTCAGGTTGGGAAAGTAAGATATATAAAAGTTAGGCAAGCCAAGGTTAGTTTAGTTCATTGTACCAGTATATCACCTGATGAAGTTACTGTGTTGGCAAAACATGTCGTGTATTTGAGAATTTTGTGGAAATCTTATCGTTTGTGAAGTTTTTACATTCGCCATGGATTTCCATCAAGTAACGGCCGAGTCAATAATAAAAAAAAACACTATTCGATTAATAAACAAAATAACTAAATACAGTATCAAAACCAAACAGGGTAGTACCTAATCTAAGTCAACACCATGCTTATACAAAAAAATCTATCTAAAATATTATTTAGTCTACCAAAATCGCAATAAAAATTACTAGTTGAACGAAAAAGCACATTACACCAGCACCAGAGTGAAGTAAAACTTTAGCAGATACTTACTAAAACTGGCAGCGGTTTGATCCGGAATAACTAGATCAAAATAATCGAATTAATATCAAGTATAATATTGATGTTTTCGTTTCAGGTGAATGGACATGTGAGGGAGAATGATTGAATGAAACATTTCTACAAAAGAATACGAGAAGATCGAAAAAATAGGTACTAGACTAGAGCAACGCCAGTATTAACATTTCAGGAAAATACACTGAATGTGATTAGGAATACCTGGCGTGATGAAATGTGCTTTATTTCTAAGGAATTCGTGATGATTGAAAATAATATAATTGAGAAATGATAAGAGTAATAATTAAATACCTAATTGCAACAAGATTTATTCTCCAATTAAGCCTTAATAGCCAGATAAATTTTGCGAGACTCTTTTATCAATTAATCTCATTGCAATTTATATCTTGCAATTAGGGCATCATTGACAATTAACAATTAGCCTAATTGCAAAGTTTACCTTGCAAGTAGTCTGATTGCGAAATATATCTGGCAACAAGGCTCTGAATACTTTAAGAATGCCCAGATAATCCACTGAAACATGTTTAATGTTGTCGACATAGCCATTTCGATGAAATTATGATGAACTGATGATTAAAAGCTGATTATGAATTGTGATATTCTCTCGGTTTTATTTATGAATCATCTTCTGTTTCGTTAACAGGTCAACTAGGGTTGATTATATCATAAACCGAGTCATAAAATATTGGTGCAAAAACAGTCGTCATCATCACTCTACAAAGCTCAAATTCGATTATATCTCGAGTTCTGATCGTATTTCTGGGGTTGACCTCCAAAAAACTCCCTGGGGTAGCTGCAATTGGCTTAGATATGTCATTCTGTCATCGCCTTATCATCTGTCGAATTATCTGACATCAGAAACAGCTGTTTCTCTAGGAATATGACACCGTATTATCACAAATTCTCTTCTTTGCAGAATATCTTCACTTTGGAATTTCTGAACAAATAGATTTTCAACTACGAAATAGTCACAACGATGGTAGATTTCGGGAGAGAAACAACTACTTTCCTGGCTGATGCTACGCTGACGCAGAAAATTGAATTACATCGTCCTTTCAACTACGAAATAGCCACAATGTTCATAAAATCAACAACGATGGTAGATTTCGGGAGAGAAACAACTACTTTCCTGGCTAATGCTACGCTGACGCAGAAAATTGAATTACATCCTCCTGAAATCTATGCATCGACTCGTATAAACGAATACTGATACAAGTGATTCTTTCCTGAATGCCTATTGATTTCGATTTAGCCAGGCCACGCTAGACACCTACAGACCGGTTTCGAGCTCTCTGACTCATCAGTGCAGGGCAGTCTCCAGCCCACAGTCCTAAGACCACCAGGATGTAATTCAATGTACTGCGTGGCATTAGACAGGAAAGTAGTTGTTTTTCTACCGAAATCTAGCAATGTTGTTCATTTTATGAACATTGTGTGGAAATGACTTTGAGATTTTTGAATTTATTTGAATAGATTTTTTCCAGAGTAACAATTTTGCAACCTATAGAAAAAAGGATCCATTGGTATTTGTCATACCTCAGTGCACGTAGTTTTTTGAGTGATCATATTATCCTCAACCTTTTGCGAATAGTTTTGTAAAAAAAAAATAGTGCTGCAGAGATTATCGATTTGGAGCTTCGGAGATTGTCAAGATAAGCTCTAATTGCAGATAACTCTCACCATTAGAGTAATCGCTAATTATTCCATAAATGCAAGATTCATTTGTCATTTATGCCAGATGGGCAGATGAATCAGTCAACTAGGGCCTAATTGCCAGATCAATCTGTCATCTAAGCCCTAATTGCAAGATTGATCTCAAAACTGAACTGATTGCCAGACGAATCTGTCAATTATGCTTCACTTGCAAAATGATTCGTACAATTAACCTGATTGCCAGATACATATGTCAATTAGGAACTAATTGCTAGATTAATCTGTACATTGGACCCTAATTGCAAAATCAATTAGACTAATTGCCAGAAGAATCTGTATCTTGTACCATAATTGCAAAATCATTTAGACTAATTGCCAGATAAATTTGTTAATTCAGGCCCTGAGTTATAATCATCCCTATAACTATAACACTGATAGATATTTTTTAGGATTGCATGTACTTTTCAATCATCCAAGTGCAGCCACCCTACAAAATATCTCTTGCTATGACATTTTTTCCCATTGTCGGGAAATATAGGTAGATACTGGAAACTCATATGAAATTGTTTCATGAAAGAGGAATCTGTATAGGTAGGTAGGTATTTCGCTGTGCGAGTAATATTCGAAATTGCAACTGAGTATATAGAATGCAATAACGTTGAGATGGACATGAATAAAATGTGTTAGATAGGTATATTATGCAAAAGGGTACGAAAATTGATGAATATTTCAATATGGGATGGAAACGAAATATTGTGCGTTATTTTTCCCTTATAGTTACTTTCTTTATCTATGGCCCGAGCGATAGCGAAGGCTATTATTGACACGCCTAGGTACATAAAAGCAAGTTACGCCCGAAATACATACAACATTTTATGCACGACCGGTATATTTGTTTTCATTGTGAATACCTCTTCACCTGTCAAGAACGATATAGAAATACATCATGGCTGCAGTGAGGAATATCATTGATTATTTCATTCACACCTGGCTGCACCTATGATATTTCATGATTGAAGTCACATGATATGCGATATTAGCGGTCATTTAGGTGAACAAACATAATATGCACTACACTGATTTACCACTAACCAAACCGATTTTTTAACGCCTCGACACGTGTTTCGCTAACTATGTTAGCATCTTCAGGAGAAGATTAAAACTGAATATCCTATTCAAATGTGCTGCTTATATACTAGGTATATGTTCACCCAACTGTGAAAAATACTAACCGTCAAGTTAATGTTTGTCATGGTTGAGTTCACATGTTAATCCTAATTTTTATATTACTAAACTATATAGAGGGTTATATGGAATAGATCCATCATCCTTATTCATTACTCTATTACTATTCTTAAATATCTCTAAGCTTTCATATGCGTCTAGTTTTCTAATTTTCTATTCAATGTTATTTACTTTCATAACTAATTTGAGGTTAGTAATATGTGTGCTATGATTGTGATTGAACATATGTTCGACTACACAAGATTTATCTAACCTGCCATATTTCAAATGGGCTATGTGTTCTTTGAACCTTGTTTTTATGGGTCGCCTGGTTTGACCTATATATGTTTTATCACAATCATTACAACTTATTTCGTATATTCCCGACTTCTCAAGTGTGTCCACTTCATCTTCCGGATTGCCTAATGAATTGCCTAATTTTGACCCAGACTGATAAACGCTTTCAAAACCTAAGTCTTTGAAAACCTTATCTACTAGTAGATAAATTAATACGTAGACATAAATTTAAGTTAACACTTCAAAATTCTACGACTTTTCAAGTGGATAAAGAGAACTCTAGAAGAATCCCAATCCCGTTCAATCCCATGTATACGAAGGGCCTTGATAAGCGTAGAGATATTTAAGAATAGTAATAGAGTAATGAATAAGGATAATGGACCTATTCCATATAGCCCTCTATATAGTTTAGTAATATAAAAATTAGGATCAACATGTGAACTCAACCATGACAAACATTAACTTGACGGTTACAGTTGGGTGAACATATACCTAGTGTATAAGCCTCCTGAAGATGCTAACATAGTTAGCGAAACACGTGTCGAGGCGTTAAAAAATCGGTTTGGTTAGTGGTAAAACAGTGTAGTGTATTATCGTGCCAAAGGTTCCAGTCTTCGATATAAAAACATAATATGAGGGGATTTTCTGTTCGAGAGCACAAGATTGCTATGATTGTCAGAGTTTGACATTTTATATCAGTCACTTAAAAATTGAAATGTTTCGTTTTGGGTCTACATTCACTATAGAAATCAGCAGTAATTATGTAAGCGAATCAATATCAGAAAATACCAAGAAGAGTGAAGAGTCTGCCTGGAACAATTTTTGTTTTTTTGCCAGCAGAAAAACTTTGAAGTTTGTGCGACTCTACCCCAACTCTCGTCATCGCCAAAATCCAGAAAGATTGGGTGGATAGTATAGTGAGGAACATAAAGAGTACACAGTTAAATTGATATGGAAAACTAAATAGGAAGTATACTTCCCCGAACATAAACGTAATATGAGTACATTTGAAGATATCGAATTCAAAGGTGCCAGGGATGCGCAAAAGCAAAGCCTGCAATATTTTCCTCAAACAAGAAAGGAAAGTTCAGAAGCACTAACTTTAGATGAATTGTATTTTTATACTGTTCATGAAATAATCTTCCTGAATATCACCCGACCATGACAAATAGAGACTATTATTTTCTTCAATTCATCTCGAGTACCTTGTATTTTGAAACAATTCAATTCTACCACATGAACATAAATAATCATAGGATATTAATGTTCGTATGGTCTCATCATATTGTCAAAATACAAGGTACTCTCAATGGAATTATGAGAAAAATAATTGTCGACTATTTGTCATGGTCTCGGGATATTACCTACGATGGAACCGACGTTACCATGGTAACTCAGTCAATCTTTTGAAATAGAAGCAGACTATTGTATTTCCTGTCAATTTATATGTCACAGATAACTTATTTTGGATTTGATTACATCATTTTGCATCCCAGAAATATCAAGATAACTGTAATATCAGATAAGGAACCATCACATATTCCTGATTTACACTGGTGTCACTTTAAGCCCGCAATACCGGGCGGTAAAAAGCTACTTTGGTCCTGGTCGTGCATAAAATGGTTTCGTTTTCATAATTATTCTTCACAAATATTTCAACTCGTACCTACTGTAAAAACTCGTTTACCGGACTATTATATTGAAAGTTCGAGAATTTGGTGCTCACCTCACATGGTGGTGGTGCGCTTCTATAAGAAGGAACTATTTTGAACGTTACAGATCCTCTTGCTTCCCTCTGTAACAAAAACATAATCTATAATTATACAGTGTGATTCACACGAGAATCAAGATCGGAGTACCCATCAAATAAAATCCATATTTCACAATCCTTTCGTTACATTCTTTCAACTACTGTGCTTTCGTCTTCAATCCCCAGTTAACAAGGATTGATCCCAAATATACAGGTAATGTAACGACGAGCTTACACTACCTTTATATCGAGAATCAGTCGGGAGAAATCCATGGAAATGTGCTTGCTTATATTTTAGAATACGCTCTCTTCATTTGAAATATTTTCGACTATGCAGTGTTGCCGCATTTACTATAAAGTAGTAGCAACATAGATATTTCAAATGGAACACCCTGTATTATATCGCATTTTCAGATTCTCCCTGAAGAGCTGATTTTATTGATGTATTACACTTGGGGTCTATCGGAAATGATTACAGAGATATAGGGTGTTCAAAATCGAGATTTTTCAACTTTACGATTTTTTTGTATCGAAACTACTCATTATCAGTCAAAACGGCTCACATGTCCCAATCTCAACTTTGATTTACTATTTACTGATATCAAATCGCAACAGATACAGCAGGGTGGTCAAGATTCACAATTCTGATCACCCTGTATCTGTTCCGATTAGATATCAGTAAATAGTAAAATCAAAAGTTGAGATAGGGACATGTGAGCCGTTTTGGCCAATAATAAATAGTTTCGACACGAACAAATCCAAAAGTTGAAAAATCACGATTTTCAACACCCTAATCTCTGTAATCATTTTCGATAGACTCCAAGTGATGTATCGATGAAATCAGCTCGAACTTCGATTAATTTATTGACGAAGAAATCCAGACTCATGTATACAGGGTGTATCTGAATATCACCGAGAGCATTCAAGGGGTGTGACATTCTAGCAAATGAAGTTCATATCAACATGCTCCGTTTTTGAGATACAGGATATGTTGAAGTTGGAAGTATTAATTGTTTTTATTTATAATCCTCCTGTATAAGCTTTCATGGTGCCAACATTCAGTAATTCTATTCTAATTCTAATTTGGGTTACTGAGTAATCTCTTGAAAACACCTACATTAAAATTTGAAGTCAAATCGAATATTTATTGTTTCTTCAAAAACTAAGCTAGATACAAAAATCACACAGAGGACTAAAATGTTGTTATTTCAATAGTTCAATCTAATAAAAATATGAAACTCATAAAAACCGGTGGTGTACAATGACATTCACCCTGAATATCGATAAATTTACCCACTGTGACGCCACTGGAAATATTATTTCTAATCTATTTGCACTAGAAGAAGCTCCATATAACTATTAACAATTGATGAAGAGGCAATTGAGGAATGAATAGAAAACAGATTTTTCATGGAAATATCTCGAAAACGATGGAAACTTGTCATTTTCATAGATCTCAATCGCAGATTCGTGATTAGGTTCCCTCAATTCAGACTTTCTTTCCACGTCCTGTATGATGAATATCAATTCATCATACATAAAAAAAAATTGTTATGTAATTTTATGAACTACAGAAGAAACATTTAGCAGGCGTTATGATTCATATAGAGCCTGTTGCCAAGGTATTATAGAGCAGTGATGGACAAGTGAAAAATATAATAAATATCAATGATAAGGCATGTCTAAACTGTCGTACTTACGAGAATTTTCTGTAGGGCATTGACAGACTGGTTGACGACAGGTATGCCGTTGATCTCCCGAATTTCATCCCCCACGTGCAGCGTGGCCTGTCGATGGATCATACCTCCGTGCATTATCCTGGCTACTATACATTTTCCATCCTCGTTCAATTTCAACGTTATACCCTAAAATAAAAAAAAAAATTATCGTTTATGTATTTTTGCTCATTTGAAAATTTCTGTTGGACCAATATTACCTGAGATAGCTATTGAGTAAAATATAAACAATCACCCTGTAAATACTACTCCAATTGAATCGGAAAAAAATAACCACCATTAGACATATTTGCTACTTATTCAAGTCAAGACTGTACTAAAGTGTTAACATTATCTCGGTCATCATTGGTTCATTATTATTATCGATCGATCCATTTATCGATTCATTATTGATTTATGATTTTCTTAGGAGCCCATCGTTCTCCTTTAATTCAAACTTGTCTCACGTGAAGCCAAGAAATATATGAAGTGAGATGTTTGTGCCTAGAGGTAGTTTTTTCGAATACATTGTCTCATGAACGACACGATTTATTAATCGAACGTCATTGATTCATTGACTGGTTGATTCACTGCTTTAAAAATTCGTTGAATTATTGATAGATTCGCTTATTACATTTCATTGATTTATTGATCCATTTAATTTTTGATTCATCACCTTATTTATTCATTGATTTATTGACTCATTAGTTCAATGATTCATTGTAGTATAATTTCAGTGAGATCTTTTTGTGTGTTAGTCACGAGGTTAGTCATATAGGACCCACCTGCAAAAAACGCAGTATTCTATTCTATATTCTATTCTGTTCAATTGACTAATTCGATCGACTCATTTATCCATTGGTTCAGCAATACATTGATTTTTTGACCATTTGGTTCATTGATTCCTTGATCTAATAATATCGGCTGATTGATTCATTGACCAATTGATTGATTCATTAACTGGTTCATTGACTCATCGACCGATCCTCGAAACACTCACCATTGTCTACTAGTAAAATTCAATATTTAGTGATTTTGAGCATTTTTGAAAATGTTATATTCATTCATCACATATCATTTTGAAGGAAAAAAAATAAGGAATTTAATGAGCTTATGAAATACGGGGTGTTCCATTTGAAGATCATAAATTTGAGTCGTATATCCAAAACCATACCCCGAAAAAAAAAAAAAAAAATTAAGTGCCCCACTGGATTCTGCGTAAAATTCTCTATGCGATAAGATTTTAATTTGACATTTTCGCTGAGATACTTCGTAGATATAGAGGGGATCCAAAAAATATACATTTTCAAAATCGCCCGGTATCTCATAAACGGAAACAGTCTTTCAAAATCTGATTGAGCCATTTTGGGTTTCACCAAAAAGTGGCACATCACCGGGAAAACCGCAAGGTTCTATCTCAAAAGATAACTGAGATATCACGCAAAAGCAGCGAAAACTGGACACACTGTACATACTACCCCAAACGAAAAAAAAAGTCATCATCAGACAGATTTGCTACTTATTCAAGTCAAGACTGTACTAATGTGTTAAAACTAACTCTGTCATCATTGATTCATTGATTCATCGACTTATTGACTATTCGATTTTATCATTATTGATCGATCCATTTATCGATTCATTGATTTATTGATATCTGATTTTCTTGGAGCCCATTGTTCTCCTTTAATTCAAACTTGTCTCACGTGAAGCCAAGAAATGTATGCAGTGAAGTGTTTGAGCCTTGAGGTAGTTATTTCAAATACAATGTCTAGTGAACGACACGATATATTGATTGAACGTCATTGATTCATTGACTTAACAATTCGTTGAATTATTGATAGATTCTCTCATTGCATTATTGATTCATTGATTAATCGATTCATTGAATCTTTGATTCATTACCTTATTTATTCATTGAATTATTGACTCATCAGTTCAATGATTCATTGTAGTATAATTTCAGTGAGACATTTTTGTGTGTTAGAGTCATGCAAAAAACACAGTATTCCATTCAATATTCTATACTGTTCAATTGACTAATTCGATCGACTCATTTATCCATTGGTTCATCAATGCATTGATTTTATGATCATTTGGTTCATTGGTCATGGATACCTACATTGATTTTTTGATCAGTTGGTTCATTGATTCCCTGATCTAATGATTAATTGATATTGGTTTTTTGATTCATTGATGAGACCTGTTATCTATGCACACTTCTTATAGTTGAGTGCATCTCAAATTTCAGAACATGACCTCTCAAGGATTTTGAAATATTCAATAAAATCTGAAAAAAAGTCATTCATCGCACGCTCACGGTCCAACGGTACATTTTCGTATAAAGGTAAGTTAGTCCCAATCGACCTATTTTGAACTCTATATCTATATTCTTTTCAGTTCAATTGACTAATTCGATCGACTAATTTATTCATTGGTTCATTAATACATTGATTTTATCATCATTTGGTTCATTGATTCCTTGATCTAATGATTAATTAATATCGATGGATTCATTTACTGGTTCATTGACTCATCGACCGATATCCACGATACACTCACCATCGGCTCGTCGGTGTTCTTCTGGAACTGCACCAACCGCACCCTGGTGACGTTCTCCATTTCGACGTCGCCGTCGAGGCCGTCCATTTCATCGCCGACGCCACCGATGCCGCCGCCCCCGTTGAGGTAGGGGGGCAGGGGGGGCGGCGTGACTCGGAGGGCATCCTCGCCGTACACCTCGTGAGCGACGACGTCGTGCGCTTGCAGGAGGGTCTGCGAACGGAAAGAGGAAAGATGAAACACCTTGTAGAATGTTTTTTGAAGCTGATGATAGATCAATTGATTCTTTAATCGATTTATCGATTAATCGATTCATCATTCATTCTTAGATGAATAGATTTATCGATTCATCAATTCATCCATTGATGTATTGATTTATTGATGATTCATTAATTCATTGATGATTCATTGATCTATTGATTTATCGATTTATTGATTCATTCATTCATCGATTTATCGATTTACTGATTCATTGATTTTGATTTATTGATGATTTATTGATGATTCATTGATCTATTGATTCATCGATTTATCGATTTATTGATTCATTTGTTCATCGATTTATCGATTCACTGATTCATTGAATGATTGATTCATTGAATGATTGATTCATTGAGTCATTGATTTATTGATTTATTGATTCATTGATTTATTGATTTATTGATTTATTGATTTATTGATTTATTGATTTATTGATTTATTGATTTATTGATTTATTGATTTATTGATTTATTGATTTATTGATTTATTGATTTATTGATTTATTGATTTATTGATTTATTGATTTATTGATTTATTGATTTATTGATTTATTGATTTATTGATTTATTGATTTATTGATTTATTGATTTATTGATTTATCGATTTATCGATTTATCGATTTATCGATTTATCGATTTATCGATTTATTGATTTATCGATTTATCGATTTATCGATTTATCGATTTATCGATTTATCGATTTATTGATTTATTGATTTATTGATTTATTGATTTATTGATTTATTGATTTATTGATTTATTGATTTATTGATTTATTGATTTATTGATTTATTGATTCATTGATTTATTGATTTATTGATTTATAGATTTATTGATTTATTGATTTATTGATTTATTGATTTATTGATTTATTGATTTATTAATTTATTGATTTATTGATTTATTGATTTATTGATTTATTGATTTATTGATTTATTGATTTATTGATTTATTGATTTATTGATTTATTGATTTATTGATTTATTGATTTATTGATTTATTGATTTATTGATTTATTGATTTATTGATTTATTGATTTATTGATTTATTGATTTATTGATTTATTGATTTATTGATTTATTGATTTATTGATTTATTGATTTATTGATTTATTGATTTATTGATTTATTGATTTATTGATTTATTGATTTATTGATTTATTGATTTATTGATTTATTGATTTATTGATTTATTGATTTATTGATTTATTGATTTATTGATTTATTGATTTATTGATTTATTGATTTATTGATTTATTGATTTATTGATTTATTGATTTATTGATTTATTGATTTATTGATTTATTGATTTATTGATTTATTGATTTATTGATTTATCGATTTATTGATTTATAGATTTATTGATTTATTGATTTATTGATTTATTGATTTATTGATTTATCGATTTATTGATTCATTGAATTATTGATCTATTGATCCATTGATTTATTGATTCATCAATTTATCGGCTTATCATTATTTGACTCAAGGATTGATGGATTCATGGCTTCGTAGATTTATGCATTCATCGATTTATAAATTGATTGATGCTTTCATAGTTTATTCTTCAAATTGGTTCATTGATTGATTTACTAATCGGTTTATTAATAGATTTATCGATGAATCATTGATTGAATAATTGATTTATTTATTGATCTATTTTATGATCGATCCATTCATTGATTGATGAATTCATTAATTCATTGACACTATACTATGACTGTCAAAGAAAAATAAGTTATAATAGGGAGTTCGAGCAGAGTTATTATAAATTCATCCTGATTTGGCTAAAGGCAATGAATGAGTATTTTATCTACCTATTTTCAACGATTTGCGACTATAATAGGTATAAATTGTTGTCTACTATCAATATATAATTTACATTCATGACTATATGGACTTACTCACAAATAAGTGAAGAACATTGCAACAGTGAATAAACTAATTTGGGTATATTTCAACTGCAATTGTAAATCAGACCCTAATTCACAGTTGCAATTGTAAATTAGTGAATTGAGATAGGTTATTTACAATTATTGCAACTGTAAATAGAGACCCTTATTTACAGATCAAACTATGAATCAGCCTAATTTCCAGTGTCATTTCTGAATCAGATCTTGATTTACACTTGCAACTATGATTACTGATCCTAATTTATATATCAAAACTATGAATCAGCCTAATTTTCATCAGTTGCAATTGCCTCAGTCCCTTATTTACATCTACAACTGTGAATATAAACCGTAATTTACAGGTCAAGCTATCAATCAGCCCCATTTACAGTTGCAGAACGTTAAAAGAAAATCATGTTCTAACACTTTTCCTCGAGACAAACTTCGTTAATTACATTGTAGCTGAAGATAAACATTATGAGGACGATTTTCAGAAAATGAATTAGTTCTATTCATTCCCCGGTCGGTGCGGGAAGTTAGAGCAATTTACAGAATAGGTAATCTCTCTGGGTAATCAATCAAGCTCCCATTAAGAACTCGAGTAGAGTGGCAGCCCAGCCAGAAATGCTACTCCTTACTTCTCCGAATGTCCTGAATACATTTTTGAGCCTCATTATAATGTCGCGCAGAATGTGGAATTGTTGAGAAGCGGAATTTGATACTTTCGAGGAATTTAATGGGTTCCTAAAAGGATCATTAAGCGCGCATATAATCTTCGAATTTTCCATGAAAGGGAAATTTAACGGCGATTTCCTCTCGGAAATTTTCCACAAAGCCATCATTCCCCACCTGTCTGAAAAAATAGTAGTATCAATGAAAAAGTTTCCTTCTGGCAGTAGCGGAGAGGCAAGAGGTGAAAGAGGGACCAGAGCAGAAGATTTACATCTGCTCGGATAGTCAGGCGGCTCTCAGGGCTGTCTGCCCAGCCAACCATCGTGTGACATCAACATCTGTGTGATGTAACAACCTTGCATAAATGCAATATCTCGTTAACACATCTTATCGACGTAGATTCGATATCAACGTCGCAAGGTGACATCGCAACCAGGAAACTTTGTAATGTGGCAGCGACTTCTTCAAACTACATTTCTTCGACCTTAACTAAATAATTCACATTGATATCCTCATGAAATATCTTTGTGACCTGTGAGTGTGACGCAGAGATGCGCAAAACGAATAACGCACACGCCAGACGCCATGTTGAGCTGTGCATGGCCATGTCAGTCAGTCAGCCAGTCAGTAAGTGAGTCCGACTCCGTACAGACTATTTCCTCCCAAATTCTCTGTTGAAATTACTGAGATGATTTATAGCACATATTATAGCAGCTTCAAATTGGAGGTATACAATCATTTAGGAACGACAGTGTGTTCAATCACAATAGGTAATATTGTAATTATCTCTGAGATAGGAATATTGCAATCTAAAACAAGGTGGATGAAAGATCCCAAGATGATGTAAGTGTATTCGATATGTATCATTTATGAATAATGTATATTTGTATTGCTATATATATGTGTCATGTTTTACTTCAAGATTACTAATTGAAATAAAAATAAACATTTTCTTCGTAAAGTTGAATAATTATAATTATTATATATCTCACGAATATCACAGGTACGGCGACCACATCATCGATGTCGCAGTGTGATGTATTTGTAATATGAAATGTACACTTGTATGTGACCTGGTAGTGATTTTTCATGTGATGTCGCATTTCATGTCTGAACAACGTCACAGTGATGTTGCTTGAGTCGGACATGTTTGTGACTTCAAATGCGATATCGCATGTCACAAAGTGATGTGTCGAATACATCACTTATACATCTCATGGTTGGCTGGGTGCGATCCTAAACCAAGCTCAGTTTTGGTGCAGGAATGTGGCGATGCTTTTGAGAAACTAGCTGAACAGAAGGAAGTCGAACTAGTATGGGTTCCGGGGCACAGGGGGGTGGCCGGGAACGAGGTGGCCGACGAGCTGGCTAGAATCGGATCCGCGACACCGTTCTGGGGACCCGAACCTGAACTGGGCATAACAAGAAGCCAAACTTCGTCTGCCCTTAACAAATGGGCGGACGAGGCACTAGAAGGATATTGGAGGCGTATAGGCGGCTGCAGGCAATCGAGAGACCTGGTGGCCGGTCCAAGCAAGCCAAAGACGGCTTGGTTACTGGGCAGGCATCGCCAAGTCCTGCGCCTTCTTATAGGGGTACTGAAAGGGCACAACATGTTACGCAGACACATATCACTCATAGGTGTGGAAGATAGTCCCACTTGCCGTGAATGCGGAGAAGATGAGGAGACATCACTTCACTTCCTCGGAGAGTGTGAGGCGTATGGAAGGATGAGATTCGAAATCTTTGGAGTAGATGAACTACAACAGGAAGATTTGGGTGAATTAGAGATGGAAGAATAATTAGAAAGCGAGGTATCGTTCTAAGAAGCTGCTAGAACAAAAGAAGTGTACGAAAGATCATTCGAGAACGTTCGAGAAGCGAAGCATTCCAAGGGATCTCATATTATATAAGGACTGCCGTCAGTCAGTCAAGCAGCGAGTGTCAGAGAGACAGTCATATACCGCGTGATATAAATCGTTTTACATAAATAGTAGTTATAAGTTTGATGTAAATTAGTGTTTCTTCAGTTAAAATAAATCAGTTCGAAAATAAATAGTGTCGTGTAGGCTTCTGCACCCGAATAACGTAACAATACGAACAAATGATATGGGAAAATAATGATGCAATGCTGGGGCCCTAAGCTCAGGCATACTAAGCGTACCGGTAAACCCGCCGCTGCCAACTATGGATTTTTTTGCTCAGCTAATGATGTTCGATGTTCCGAAATACCAAATTGATATGAATTTGCGATTTCAGTTACGTGTTGTGCCACGATCATGTTGTTCTATAGCAAACATCATTGCGGCCAATCAGTGGCATCTCTCTTTCCATCCCAATTATTCCCGGAACAGGGTAAAACAATGAACATTAATATTCCGTGATGTGATGTCTGAAAAGCCGTTATCAAAATGTGACGATGAAATCTCGCATGCATGAATTTGCAATCATTTGCATCAATCATTATGAGATATATTCGACCCCGCAAACGTTGTTTTGCTATGTACATTATTTCTAGGAAATATTTTTTTCCTACGACCACCGATGAAAACAGCACGAAACACATTGATTTGTTATTGAGACAGTGACTTCGTTTCACTATGACAACATATAACAGTTAGAAAGTTCGAAAGCAAAACTCACATGGGTGGAAATATTCGAAAATCGCACAGTAACAGGGTCTATAGATTATGATGTACCAATGAATGATTATTATGCTGAATTATGGTAAGTTGAGTTATGGTCAAGTTAATGGAAAGTTAGTGTCGATTTAACATGAGTTATTGTCGTTAATGTTGACGTAATGTTAAGTTGATGAAAAGTTGAAATCAAGTCAATTTCAATTGAAAGTTGAATTAATGTCAATGTATCGGCAATTTAGTGATTAATGTGAAGATGATGTCAATTTGATATTGAGTTGATGTTAATTTGATTTTAAGGTAATGTCAAGTTAATTTTGAGTTAATGTTGATTTAATGTTGAGTTAATGTTGAATAATTATAGAGATAATGTTAAGTTGATGTTAAGTCAATGAGAGTTAATGTTAAGTTAATTTCAAGTTAATGTTATGAAACTGTTAAATTTATGTTAAGTTGATGTTATAAGTGGATGTTAAGTTGATGTTAAGTTAATGTTGAGTTAATGTTAAGTTCATATTGAGTTAATGTTAAGTTAACGTTAAACTAATGATGTCATTTAAATATTGAAGTAAAATTAAATAATAATGATAATGATCGAATATGATTAGAAACATGATTCCTACTCCTGCGCTCGTTTCGTTTCGTCCACTCGCGCGAACTATGTCACTTTTCACACTAGTTATGTCATATACTATTTTATTGCGATCGCTTGAAACCGATCAATGAACAGTTCAGACAAGGAAGGTGATAAACAAATTTCCCATTCATCTGGGGACAATCCATTGAATAACTTTTTGTAATCATAGTTCAATCACCTTTTCAAATAGTTTCACTTCGATCAAAAATAGAGAATCTGGATGATGGAATTTTCTGCAGCCGATTTTTTTTTCTTGTTCCATCAAGGTATCATAATCCGTGACATTAGAGCAGACTTGAAAAAATGGCGAATGCTATTAAATGGTGGGAGCGTTGTTATGCGTTCACCAAAACCTCGAATCGTGATGCGCTTAAACATCAAAAGAAATGTGACATTAGCTACAATCACTAAACTTTATGATGCTCTTAAAGATATATTATATTATAATTTCCGTAAAATACAATTCGTCTCGTGGGTGATGCCTCGCTCACAAACCCACTCACATCTCTGGAACACCGTAGAAAAGTCGGCGATCTGGCTCTATTTTATAGATATTTTCATGGATGATGCTCTTCTGAAATATCAACAATTGTTCCTCCCTTGGCAGTCCCCGCGAGATTGACCCGTCGAGTTGAGGCTTCGCACCCCTTCGTAGTCACTTTGGAGACCTGCAGAACATCCCTTTCCAAAGACTCGTTCATCCAACGAACAGCGAGGCTCTGGAACATATTGCCAAGGGAGGTGTTCCCCGAGGCATATAACCTCCAGAAATTCAAGAAGAACACCAATTCCTACCTTATTTCCCATGGTTCTCACGATGTTCTCTGAACATTACAGGATATCCCTTCCCGTGGAAACTAGAACTTCTGAATGTGAATTCATTTCCGACGTCACAAATTCATGTGATCAGAATATAATAATAATAATAATAATAATAATAATAATAATAATAATAATAATAATAATAATAATAATAATAATAATAATAATAATAATAACGTACACCTACCTGGGTGTAGAGGAAACTCACATCCAGGAGGCACAACGGGTAAAAGACGCTCTCCGCAGCAAGTATCGACAGCGGCTCCGACAGATCTGGTCGTCAGAACTGTCGGGGAAGAACAAAGTCGCTGCGACTAACATGCTTGCTGTTCCGATCCTACTTTACTCATTTGGAGTGATAAAGTGGACTCAAGTCGAGCTGCGACAACTTGACGTGAGTACTCGCAAGATGATGCATCTCCATAGGAGTCTGCATCCAAATTCGTCCGTTCCACGGTTATACATACCTAGAGACCAGGGTGGCCGTGGACTCTTGAGCTTGGAGTATCTCCATAACAGAATGGTTCTGGATGGCGCCTGCAAAGTCATCAGGAGTTCGGATCCCCTTCTGCAAATGGTTAAAACCCATGAAGAGGCAGGAGTAGGAGCTTTTCTTTTCAGGGCAGCACGTCGAGCAGCCGATGAATTGTCTCTGATTTTCGACTCCGAGCGCGAGGCTCAGGACTCAGTTACTGAGCTAGAACCCGCTCGGAGAAAAGCCCGCATCAAAGCTGCAGAAGTGAAAAAGCTCCTGCAGCTTCACATGAATAAGCCCATGCATTCGGTCTACTTCAAGACCATTGAAGACCGGGGCTTATCCAAAGAACTGACTTTTGCTTTTCTGAAGTCAGGCGGGCTCAAATCGGAAACAGAGGGGTTCATCATGGCATGCCAGGATGGGGTTTTTAACACTCTCGTCTACCGTAGCCGTGTCATGGGTATGGAGGTCCCTGACACAAGTTGCAGGGCCTGCC